GTTTGTGGAGATTCAGTATTGGCTCCTCTACCCATACGTGAGTATTTTAAGTGGCACTACCCTGGTTTCAAGTACTTCCTTTGTCTCCTCGCCTCTTGCACTCCCTCACCCCTTTTGTGAGAAGTTGTAAACCCGTTTCAATTATTCAACCCTTCTCGTTGGCAGAACCGCGCCAGCTCCCTTGGTGGGAACCACGTAACGGACCTGGTGGCGAATGCAATCCGCTTCTCAAAGACCGGCCAGCCGCAGCGCATTTGGTACGCGCAGCACGGGGACGGCCCCGTGTGGGCGTGGGGGACCGGGGTTGACTGGGCCAACCCCAAGCGAGCAAACTTTTCTACGGTGATGGGAACACATCCCATTGTGTATGTCTCCAAGGGAAACCATGAGCATTACCCTCGAGTTGGTGAGTAGTAGCTCGAGTATTACTCTGTATATTGTCCTCCCTCATTTAGCCAAAGGCTGAACCCTGTTGCTCGAGTATTACTCTGAACACTATTTCTCTTTCATTCGCAGGTGATAACAATTGCTACGGGCCATGTATCGATCACACGGCCAACGGAGGAGTCGTATGGACGCCCAAGGACAACCCGAAGTCGTTTGAGTTTGTTCACGTGAAAAGCGAGATCTCCGATTCCATGCCGAATGCAGCCAGGGCGAAGCTATTCACGGGGAGAAACAAGTGGATGGCTTTCAATGGGAAATTTGGTGGATATGGTAAGTGTGGTTGTCCTTCAACCACGGTGCGTAGAGGATGCTTTGGATGGTGCTGACATTGTTTGCTTTTGTTCTCAGTTAAGGGGACTAAACTCGAAACTGGAGTGGACGCGATATCATTCCAGAAGAACCAGGGCAAGGTAAGCTTGTGTGTGGCTACTGGACATCTTGTATGTTGTCATTCTTTGGCATGGCACGCAAATCGGCCTCTAATATCTCTTCTTGTTGCGCCAACAGTTCACTGCTGCGCTATACGAGAAACGCTATCGGGTATCGCCTTCGTGGGGGAGGGGAGGGACCTCCTTTCCCGAACCAGGCAAGCTGTGACAACCAGGCAAGAACAATCATGAGTTGACAAACATAGGCTATGAATGTGTCCGGCTCCTCTTGTAGCAAGTATCCAGGTGCCTTCCATTTCTCTAGTGGGGTGATGTGTAACGTGTTGCTGCAGATTGTATAATGGAGTTGTTGCCTTGTTTCCCACGGGAACCACTGAATACATTGCATTCACCGGTGCCAGCAAGAGTTCCACCCACACCAGTGCAACCACAACACAAACTCTCTCCTCACCCAATGTAAACAATAGTACACCCAATATTCAACCTGCTCTCCGCCTTGTGCCGTGAAACCAGCGGGCTGCCCGAAAGATATTTAAACACAGCTGCCCGAAGCACGCCCGTGCCAAGCCCATGCAGAATGAAGAGCACAGCACCAGGCGGGCTGGACTGCACTGCTAGGTCCACCGCTGCTAATGCATCCTCTGCACTCCGCCCCCACATCCACTGTGTTGCGCGCTGTCTGCACTGCTGCCTCTCTCACTGCTGGCAACGGGGAGGAAGAGGCGGAGGACGGGGAGGGAAATTGACTGCTGCGCTTCGAGACGCGAGTGCTATTCGTGTTGCTGTTATTGCTGTCATCATCTTGCTCCTATTGCCTGCCAAATAGCCCTCCTGTGCCCCCTCTCCCTTCTGCCTCACCATCTAACTTGCTCTGCCCACCATCACCACTGCCATCAGCAGCAGGAAGCAGGTCTCCCCTTGGCACTTGCATTCTCAGGTTCCCCAGTTGAACTGTCACAGACCGAGCCGCTGCTGCCGAACCTGAACCTTCACCCGAGCCTTCGCACGGACCACTGCCCACTGCAACTACTGTACCGCGCATACTGGTGCCTAACCTCTTCATGTAAACAGGCTCCCCCAGAGCAGGAACCAGTCAGCCCCTTCTGAAATCCCCGAGCCACCAACCAAAGCATCAGAACCTATAGAGAGGCCCGTCAAAGCCGCCACAGCTGCCACGTCAGCACAGGCCTGGTCCGTCGTCACCCGCTCAGGCACACCAGCAAGAGAAGCTTCCCAGAAAGCGGCAACAATGCGGGAAATCTCCTCCCTGGCTGCCAAAACCTTCTCCTGAACATCCCTCTGATACCTTCTCCTCCCCTTCCACAGCACCTCCCTCACAGGCAGAGGCTGCTCCTGCTGGCCCTTCTGTGTGGTGCTCCTGCTGGTGTAGTGAGCCTGAAGGTGTTTCAGGAGTCTCTCTGCTTGCTGCTTGTTGCCTTGCCTCTCTTGCATCTTCCACATTCCGCTGCCACTGCTGCTTGAGTGACGCTAGTATTCCCACCTCCTCACCCTCTCCCTTTCCCCCTCCCAGGGCAGCATACTCATCCCCCTCACTCTCTCCCCCTTGCCTTCTCTCCCTTATTCCCCTCCCCTTCTCCTCGTCGTCCTCCTCCTCCTCCGCCTCCTCCTCTCCTCCCTCCTCCTCCCCTGCCTCCAGACTGGCAGCACGCGCAAGCCTGGCAGCTCAAGCTACGAGGGAGGGGGGCAGGCCGCGGGAGGCGGCGAGGGAGAGGGCGTGGGAGGTGCCGGGGCGACCCCAGAGGATGTGGAAGGAGGGGCGCAGGGAGACCGGGTCGAAGGGCACACTGGCGTTAGATGGAAAAGAGGGCCCAACACAAACGCACATGTATGTGTGTTCATGCATGCACGCATACATCCACGCACACAGACACAGACAAGTGCAGGTGCTCACGTGCGCACGCCACGCACACATACACATGGAGAGGGTGCATGGGGTGAAAGAACCACAGAATCTGTAATAAGAGACTCATTTGAGGAGCTGATGAGAACAAAATCAAAGAGAGCACAACTGAAGAGGTCCACTGAAATGGAGCCACATCAGCACCACCATTCTCGCAACACATCAAGTCATATCCCACATATCTTCCCTCTCTCCCGTTCCCCAACTTCCCCCCTCGCTCGTTTCCTATCTTTTCTGCCTCTTCACGTCTCTGACTCACCTTCCTTGCAGACCTGAGCCGCAGACGCAGACCCAAGCGGCTCCTCATCATATTTAGGGATTAAGTCTTCCAGCCGTATCCATGCAGCGTCAGCACTTTGCCATGTCACTCCCAGCCACGTTGGCGCCTGCCAGCTCAGCCTCAACAGTGCGTTTGACAGAGGAAAGGGGTTGGCTTTTGAGCCATGGGTGACGTGTCTGGCTTAGGGCGGGAAGTGGCCTGGCCTGAGGGGGGGAACAAGGGGCGGGATAGAGAGGGATGGGAGGGTGGTGGGGAAAGAGAGGAGCGAAAGCAGCAGAACCGGGGATTTGCGCAAAGGAAAGGCTAGCATTGTGGCCAATGAGGAGGGGACACGTGTAGCCTGGCTGAGCGGAGTGCACGAAGAGAAGAAGGCGCTGGGGAGGGAGTGGGAAGGGTGGGAGGAAAGATAGTGGATAGAGGAGAAGGCACAGCATGGCATGTGTATGAGGTGGAAACGAAAAGGCATGGTGGATGGGGAACGGCATGGCAGCATGTGAGGTGGCAATGCAGCAGTGGGGAGCGGGGAGATTAAGGCGGCGAGGAGGGGAGTGGCTGTTGAGTGGAATGAGCTGATAAGAGGAGTCGCCACCGTGTCAGACGTAGCTGACGGTGAGGGGAGCGCGCTCTGCTGACTCGTTAAAAACATTCATGTGCCAATGGCTCGTTATAATCACCCGTTGCTGGTACCGCTCGTACCGCTGGTAGCGCTTGTAGAACTGTTTGTTCCCCGCGCCGCGGCACTTCCTCTTCTTGTCATGCAAATGCCATGGCGCGCCGGACAGCCCGCTCCGGAGTTGCGACTCCGCCTGCACGATCCGATCCTGCAGCCATCCCGCGAGCTCGGCGCGCAGCGACTCGGGGTTCGAGCCTACGATGAAATTGCCGTTACGGTCGGTCGAGGTGACAAGCGAGAGCTTCATGATCGTACCAGGAGGGTTACTGTGGCGGTAACGACGCTTGTCGGGAGTTGACGAGTAACGTGAGGCAGTTTTCGTACTGAATCGTTAGGCGATGGGCCTGACATGGCGAGATCATGTCACTGTACGAAATACATCATCTCTCCTCAGACATTGCATGAACGAGAATAAGTTCCCTCTCCAGGAGGTGAGGAGGACGGAGACGCCATGGCCCATGGATTTTGGGTAGGGTGCTGGAACGAGTGTGATCAAGCATGCTAGTGATGTTGGCAACATCGCACACGGTTTACGTAAACTGGTAACGAGTTTCCGGTATCGAGTTCAAGTGCACCGCGAAAGTTGGGCGAAGAGCTGGCGACTCGTGATGGTATTGCGAACTGTTTCGAAATGACCCTCGCCACCGTTTTCAAAGCTCGCCACCATCATGTTACTCGAGACAAATCTGACACCATTTTGTCAGAGGCCCGTCAGCCCCAACACACAGACCACCAGAACGGTAACCGTGTTTGACTGAACGGCACCGCACTAGTTGCAGGGCCCTGGGGGGAGGCTCCAGCGCAGCATTCTCAGTTCAAGGTTAGCGCAACATTCTCAGGAACAACGTTTTCGGCAACTAACTTGAAAACGTAATATTATAGAGTTTTAAAACGGTGCATCACGGTATTATGTACATTCAAGTGGAAGTGCCTTCGACCTGACATGTCCTTGCTATCTGCTATTCAGACCCGTTCCCATTTCGCTCGCGCGTCCACGCACCAACGTACATTGATTTGCTGAGCTGCCGTCTCACCAAATAATCCTTAGGAGTCGCACGTGAGTCGGCAGCAGGACGACGGAAGTGACCCAAGTCAAGCTTGCCTCTAATGCGGTAGTAGCTCGAACAGCAGTTCCTCTCGGCCCAGGCAGCATTCAAAAGCGACGGTCCCGCCATGAGTTTATTGTAACTGATTCATTCTATCAACCAACCAAGAGTAGCGATGATGGCTGCGCGTTTCCTTTCGACTACATTGGCACTGGTAGTAATAGTAGTGCTGGTGGCGCTCCATATGAGAGCCACGTCGGCATTCAACTTCTCAAGATCCGAGGGCGGAAAAGTGCAGTGGTCGCCCAACTGCGACTGGAAGGGCAACGACATTGGCCAAGCCGCCGGCAAGGGCGACACGTGCGGAAAGCAGTGCATCAGCCGCGCGCATTGCACGCACTTCACGTGGACGGCCGAAAACGGGGGCACGTGCTGGTTCAAGGGGGCGATCAACGCGACAGAGCTGGTCGCCGCGAATGACACGTCGTGCGGTTACCGCGTCAGCGACAACGGAGTGACCGGCAACCCGTACAGAGGAGTCCTGCCGTACCTCAACCCCGAATATGCGGAGAACGTGCAATCCGCGATGCGCGCGTCGACCGAGGATGCACCATACTTCGCGAGCGTGGCCCAGTATCCGACGGCCGTGTGGCTCGACTCGATGAAGAAGGTCAACAACATCCAAGGCCACCTCGATAACGCAGCGGCTCAGGCGGGCGGCAAGGCGATTCTCGTGCAATTCGTGATCTACGACCTCCCGGGCCGCGACTGCAACGCGTGGTCGTCCAATGGGGATATTCCCAAGGGCGGCCTCGACACGTACAAGACCAACTACATTGACGTCGCCGTGTCGCGCCTTAAAAAGAAGGCGGCGAACGTGCGGCTGTCGATCGTGATCGAGCCCGACTCGCTGCCCAACATCGCGATAAACTTGGGGAGCAATCGGTGCGACTCAACGACGGAGAAGGAATACACGGAGGGCGTCGCGTACGCGATCGCGTCGCTCTCGCAGATCCCCGACACCACACTGTATCTCGACTCGGGGTCCGGCGGGTGGCTCGGTGAGTGCGTGTGCCGCGCGCGGTTCGTTCCGTTCCATGCCAATCTGTTTCCTTCCTATCCTTCCCCCCCTTCGGCCGTAGCCCTGCTTCCGCCGTTTCGCTTCGCACTCCCCTTCACCCACTCCGCTCCCCTCACGTGAGCAGGCTGGCCGGATAACATGAAGCGCGTCGTGGGGGTCTATAAGAAAGTCCTCGCGCTTGCGTGGCAGATGAGCCCAAACGCCAAGATCCGCGGTTTCGCGTCCAACGTGGCTAACTATAACCCGCTCTATTCCTTCCGCTGCCCGGCGTCGGAGAAATGCCCGCTCGTGAAGAACAAAAGCACTGGCGAAATGAACTACGACGGGAACCCGTGCATTGATGAGAACCGGTTCACGTCGCGAATGAATGCGTACCTGGGAGCCTTGGGATTGCCGACCAGGTGGATCGTTGACACCAGCCGGTCCGGCCTTGGTGGCATTCGGAAGCGCTGGGGTTCGTGGTGCAACGTGAAGGGCGCGGGGATTGGACCGCGTCCCCGCGCGAATCCCCCTGGTGCTCCGCAAGGTGAGCTGAGCACTTCACATCACGCGCATCCTGCTTCATCTTGCTGTTGCTTTTCTTTCCTTTTACCTTTTCTTTTTTCTGGCGATTCTGTTTTGAAGATTGTCGTCTCTCCAGTGGCCTCATGCCGCCGTTCCTTTCCCACACACCTTCCTTGCCCGGCAGCGGATGCTTTGGTTTGGATCAAGCCGCCTGGGGAGAGCGATGGCCAATCGTAAGTAAATATGTAGGACAAACATTTCGTTTTAATTCATTCTTTATACTGCAGGGACTTCTTAATAAGGTGTACCAGTTTCCCATTATTATGTCTTTCTTCTCAGTTTACCAAGCATATTATCTCTTTTCTGTCAATTGGATATTAATCGTTACAAACAGCTGGCCATGCCTTCTCATTTTCACCCATCTCTCTTCCTTCCTCCCCCCGATGCATCCAATCCAGAAAAAGTGTTGGCCATTCCCGCGTGGATCGCGAGTGCGACCCCACCGACCAGCTGGGCCTGGACGCCCTAGCCGACGCCGCGCCCCGCGCTGGCCAGTGGTTCCAGGCGGGATTCTCCATGCTGGTTCACAACGCCAACCCGCCCATGCCTGCCAAGGACCTGAGTGGGAAATGATCAATAAGGGGCCGACGACTAGAAGAAGGATGAGCAACCAGGGGCCAAGCGATTCGGACCAGAGCTCTGGCTAAATCTGAAAAAAAAAAAGGATGAGCAACTCTAGGCGGACAGCAGCTCTAGGCCATAGTCTGGGTTTCCAGAGACAACATAAACGGTTGTCCAAGTTTAGAGACGAGTATACTCCAACTTGGAGTTTATGTCAATGTCCTTTCTTAGGTCAGTGAGGATGGTGGTGAAGTTCTTCAGTTCACGCTGTATCTTCGCCCAATTGATTCCTGAGGTAGGGTGGGAGGGGCAGAGCAGGGCAACTTGCGGTTTAGCCTTCATTATTGTTTTGCTTCTACAGTTATTGATGCCAGAACACAACATACAATAACTGTTATCAAACGCTCACCGGGCAAAGAGTATGGCAAAGTTGGTTTTCGATTGAACAACTCCCGAAGCGACTGCAGCCAGGCAAGGCATCCTCCCTCTGCCTGCCCACCCGCACGCGCACCTAGCACAGCTGATGGCGCGCATGGGATGGGGGGCGGGGCAGCAGGGGAGAAGACAGACGGAGAGGCACAGAGTGACGCAGCGAAGGGAGGTACAGCTGGCACAGCTGATGGCGCGCGCAGGGAAGTGGGGGGACGGGGAGAGAAAGGCGACGAGGAGGGGAGAGGCTGTTCAGTTGAATCAGATGATGAGGGGAGACGCCATCGTGTCTGACGTAGCTGACGGTGAGGGGAACACGCTCTGCTGACTCGCTACAATCATTGATGTGCCAATGGCTTGTTATAATCACCCGCTGCTGGTACCGCTGGTAGCGCCGGTTGCGCCGGTAGGCCGGTAAGACTGTCTGTGTTCCGCGCAGTGGCACTCCCCCCTTTGTCATGCGCCCGACATCCCGCTCCGGAATTGCGACTCCGCCTGCACGATCCGATCCTGCAGCCATCCCGCGAGCTCGGCGCGCAACGAATCGGGGATCGAGGTTACATAGAATTACCGCTACGGTCAGTCGAGGTGACGAAAGAGTGCTTCATGATCGTAGCAGGAGGGTTAAGATGGCCGTACCGGCGTCTTTTGGGTGTTGACGAGTGATTGATGGGAGGCAGTTCTTGAACAACATAGTAACCGCATGGCGGGACACTGCAGTTGTACAAACAATCTCGCCTATCAGAACGCCTATCAATTGTACTAACAATCTTGCCTATCAGAACGCCTATGCAGTTGCACTAACAGATTCAATATCTTGCCTATCAGTCATTGCATGAACGAGGAAAAACAATCTCGACGGGAGGTGAGGGCTGGTAAAAGGGACGGTGATGTTCGGCAGCCGCGTAAGGGGACGGACCGTCTGGGCCTGAAGTTCGACCATACCACGCAAAGCGCTACGGGACGGGAGGGCCTCGAACTTGGAGTCAACTTTCGTTGACTCCATATTGACCAGCCACAACTCGAGGCAAGGTTGTCCATTTTCAATCCCTCCCCGCATCCCTCGCTTCATGTACAAGATCGCGCGATGTCATTGGTAGGCTCCTGCAACGAGTGTGAATGTAAGTGATGCTGGCAAAATCGCACACGGCTTGCGAAATTAGTTACGGCTTTCTTGTATCGAATCCTGTGTGTGTGCGACGCGAAAAGCTTGTTTCGAGCACCGCGAAGTTTGGGCGAAGAGCTGGTGACAGTACTGCGAAGTGTCTCGAAATGGCCCTCACCTCCAACTTCAAAGATGGATGTGACAGCCGCGATACAGAGGCCACGATATTTACTGGTGCGTTGCGTTCCAGAACGGTACACGTTTGTTGACTGACCGAGACCGTATCGGCAGCAGATCCTTGCTGGGACGGTCGCGCGAAGCTGTCTTAATTCAAGATTGCTGTTCAAGAAATCATTCAAATGACTCTGGTAACAAGCGTTTCAGAACGTTCAGACGATGCAGCACGTTACGACGTTCGGGATTTGAACAGCATTCGGCCTGACATGTGCACTCCCGCGCCTGCCCTGCAAGCTTTGTTCCCATTTCGCGCCACGCGCCCCCACCCACCAACGTGCGCCTCTGATTTGCTGTGTTGGCCATCCCTCGCATCACAAGACTTCCCTGAAACAACGGGTTCGCTCTGACCGCCATCTTCTTCCTAGGGATATTGGTGTCAGCATGGAAGGAAAGTCGTGAATCGTGATGTCACCGACACCAATTATCGTTAGAATACGTGCCTCGAAAAGTAGGTAGGCAGCAGTTCGACGTGGCCCAAGCGTTGTTCATTCCTAAGAGATCCCTTCCCGTCCACCGTCTCTCTCCTACAATATACTTATCACTGTGGTGCGACCATAATCGTGAGAAAACACCCCTCGGACCGCACAGCAGGATAACAGGCGCAACTCAATCTGACCTTGCCTCCTATACGACTCAAACAGCAGTACCGCTAGGTACGGGCAGCGTCCAAAAGGGACGGTCGCGCCATGTGTTCGTCGTAACTAAAATAACTTTTTTCAAATTTCCAAACCTAACGATGGTGGCTACGCGTTTCCTTTCGACAACGTTGGCACTAGTAGTGCTGGTGGCTCTCCATATGAGAGCCACGTCAGCGTTCAGTTTCTTAAGCGCCGAGGCCGGAAAAGTTCTGTCGTCGCTCAACTGCGACTTTGTCGGCAACGACATTGCCCAAGTCGCCGGCAAGAACGACACGTGCGGAAAGCTGTGCCTCAGCCGCGCGGATTGCACGCACTACACATGGACGGCCGACAACGGCGGCACGTGCCGGCTCAAGGGGGCAATCAACGCGACAGAACTGCTACCCGCCACTGGCACGTCGTGCGGTTACCGCGTCAGCGACAGCGCGAAGGGCAACCCGTACACGGGTGTCCAGCAGTACCTAAACCCGGGGTACGCGGCGAGCGTGAAGTCTGCGATGCTCGCGTCTCCCAAAGATGCGTCGGTTTTCGCGAGCGTGGCGCAGTATCCGACGGCCGTGTGGCTCGACTCGATGGCGAAGCTAAACACCATACAGGGCCACCTGGACGCCGCAGTGGCTCAGGCGGGCGGGAAGGCGATTCTCGTGCAATTCGTGATCTACGACCTCCCGGGCCGCGACTGCCATGCGTATTCGTCCAATGGGGAGATTCCCAAGGGCGGCCTCCAAACGTACAAGACCAAGTACATCGACGTCGCCGTGTCCCGCCTTAAAAACAAGACGGCGAACGTGCGTCTGTCGCTCGTGATCGAGCCCGACTCGCTGCCAAACTTGGCGACAAACTTGGGGTCAGCTCAATGCGACGCGACGACGGAGCAGGAATACACGGAGGGCGTCGCGTACGCGATCGCGAAGCTCTCGCAGATTCCTGGCACCTCGCTGTATCTCGACTCGGGGGGCGGCGGATGGCTCGGTGAGTGCGTGTGCCAAGCGCGGTTCGTTCCGTTCCAAGTTCTAGGCGCCTCAATAATAGATTCCGTTTCATGCCAATCAGTTTCCCTCCCATCTCCCTTCAGCGTAGCCCTGCTTCCATCGTTTCGCTACGCACGCCCCCTCACCCCACCCCTCATTCCCAATCCGCTCGCCTCTCAACGCGTGCACAGGCTGGCCGAATAATATGAAGAGCGTCGTGACGGTTTACAAGAAAGTCCTCACGCGCGCGCAGAAGATCCGCGCAGGCGCCAAGATCCGCGGCTTCGCGTCCAACGTCGCCAACTACAGCCCGCTCTTCTCCTTCCGCTGCCCGGCGGCGGAGAAATGCCCGCTCGCGAAGCACCCGGGCACGGGCGAAATGATCTACGACTGGAACCCGTGCATTGACGAGAACCGGTTCACATCGCGGATGAATGCGTACCTGGGAGCCTTGGGAATGCCGACCAGGTGGATCGTTGACACTAGCCGGTCCGGCCGCGCTGGCATTCGGAAGCGCTGGGGGTCGTGGTGCAACGTGAACGGCGCGGGGATCGGACAGCGCCCCCGCGCGAATCCCCCTAGTGCTCCGCAACGTGAGCACTTCACATCACGCGCATCTTTGCTGTTGCTTTTCTTTTCGTCTCTTTTTTTTTCTGTTTTGAAAACGTCGTGTCCTCCAGTAGTCTCATGCTGCCGTTCCTTTCCCACACACCTTGCTTGCCCGACAGTTGATGCTATGGCTTGGATCAAGCCACCTGGGGAGAGCGATGGCAATTCGTAAGTGAACATGCAGAAAAACAGTTTGTTTTACTTCACTTCCTAATTAATTATATTTAAATGTGCGGAGTGGTTCTGCCAGTTTCCTAATATGGTGTCTTTCTTCTTCGCTCCCAGTGGGTTACTTACCATTCTTACGCTGGGCTATGCTTCCTGGCACCTTCACTCATCTCATCTCTCCTCTCTGTTGCCATGCTTCTCTTCACGTCTTCACTCGCCCCTCTTCCTTCCTCTTCCCGATGCATCTGATCCAGAAAAAAAATTGGCGTTAAACCCGTGGATCGCGAATGCGACCCACTGGACCAGCTGGGTGCAGAAGCCCTTACCGACGCGCCACGCGCTGGCAAATGGTTCCAGGCGGAATTCGCCATGCTGGTTCGTAACGCCAACCCGCCCTTCCCTGCAGCAACCAGCGCGGGAAGTGATCAGTAAGGGGCCGAGAGTTGAAGGATGAGCAACCAGAGGCCAAACGATTTGGACCCCTATGTTGTAGGCCGGGAGCTGCCCAGGCGGCTAAGGAGTAATAACACACTCATGATTTTCATACTCTATTCATCAGCCATGAATGGCGAGTGCCACATCCCTTTTCCTCTTCTCCCGGTTCCTTTGTTCCCACGTCTCATCTTCTTCCCCCATTTCTGTATATCATCAATAGCTATGAACCTATTATAATATTTTTATGTATAGTACTTTCCTTTTATTTTTGTGAGTGTCCATGAAAACTTTGATGTAGCCTTGAGTGGCCATGGGTTTGCTAGGTAAGAAAGCGTGTCTGGCAGCTGGCTCATCCTCATCATGCATGCGGTGTTGAGTGACTCTGGACATGACAGCAGTGAATATGGCGTAGAAAGTGGCCTGTAAAATGAGAACTGTAAGGAATTTTTCGGATTCCTTACTGGGTCACTCCGTACGCGTACAACCCCGACTTTCGGAAAACCAGGCTCGGCCCGCCGACCTCGCCTTCCGAGCCACCACCGCGTCGCCTTCGGGTTTTCCAACCCCGAACCTGCACCCAACCATCTCGCGACCCCGCGACCTCGGCCTAGCTAGCCTTGCTATATTGTGCCTAGGCCTCGTTGTTCATTCAGACGTTGTAATCACTTCCGCGTTATTGAATTCTGCGCACTCTTTCATTCACAACTCATAACACTTGGCCTAATTTCCTAGGTTACCCTCGCGTTTCCGGGGTAGTTTGTAGAAGGGGAGCGATAGACTTGGTGGGCTGTTAAGCGGTCGGCCCGTGGAATAGATCTGATTATTCCACTCCGACTACGATAGCATTAACGCCTTCACCAGGTCAGAAAAATCGCGAGCCACCTTCTGCCCGTTAGACGAAGCCTGCGACACATGGAACAGGCGGAGTTCGACGAGTTCGTGCAACAGTTCCGGACGATGCAGGCCACCATGCAGACTATGGCTGCAGAAATGGAGCGTCTCCAGAAGGAAAACGCCGAACTACACCAGGCGCGTGGTGAAGCGCGCCAGGAGTCGCCTGTCGTGGACGATGCAAGTAGCAGCACTGCATTGGAAGAGCGGCTCTGGGACGAGTTGGAAGGCGAGATAGATGCGGATGAAGCGAGGCAGACGCAGCAGCAACAGTCACCGCAACAGTCGCGTGCAGCGCCGACACGTGCAGCAGCGACAACTACGGCGATACCTGCAGCGATGCCAACGGCCCCGATGGCAGCAACGGCTTTCGTGAAAATCAAACCGACAAACCCACCCCCGTTTAACCCAAGTGACAAGTTCGTCACTGTTTCTGCATGGTTGTTCGGCGTGGAGGTGTTTTTTAATGCTGCCATGATTTATGACGATGCCACCCGCATTAATTTCGCAGTTTCACTGTTGCGAGGGCCTGCGCTGGAGTGGTGGAGGCGAACGCTGCAACACGAAGGGACTTCGGCAGGAACAGCACGTGCGAACGACGGGACTTCAACACCTGTCACGCATCAGGCAACATCAATTTTCGGGACGGCC